ACAGGGTCGCTATGAGTCGGAACCAACTCCACAGCACATAACCACCACCACCATATGAGTTATGGTGTGCTGCTGTGGACTAATGCGTCAGACTGCAAAGTCATTTGAACTGCAAGGTTGGTGGTTCAAGCTCACCAGCTGCTCCTTGGAAACCCTACACAGGGTCACTATGGATCGGAATCGATTTGATGGCACTACAACAACAACATATGAATTATGGGCATCCTGGTGTGGCACTGTGGGCTAATGAGTTAAACAGCAAAGTCATTTAAACTGTAAGATCGGTGGTTCAAACTCACCAGCTGCTCCTTGGAAACCCTATACAGGGTCACTATGGGTCAGAATCGACTTGACGGCACTTAACAACAATAACAACATATGAGTTGTGACTATATTTATTGCTAGCTATCATGCCTGATTATATCTTAGTATGATTAAATGAGAAAGGACATGTATCTCTGAGCATATGATAAGAAAAGAATATATATGTGGGTGGGATCTGGAGCAGTCATACATTTTTGTATAAACTATGAGTTCGTTTAAAGCAGAGACAGCATCTTAATCACCTGGCTCAGTGCCTGGCACACATTAGATGCTTAATGAATTTTTTAATGAATAAATAAGCAAAGATATGCATGCATTATCTTTTCCAGACGCTGGTGGTCTTGTATGAGAGACAACTAACTCAGAATATAGAGTGTTATGTATGTGTGGTATGTGTGGATACAGAGTCAAATGAAGTATAAACAGGACTGGTCAACTTTACAGAGGGAAGTTGGGAAAGGCTCCCCAGAGGAGGTGATTCTTAGAGCTAAATTTTAAAGGATGAGTTGATACTCTAGGGAAAAAAAAAATCTTAGGCAGAGGAGATGAAGCTCTATAGTATGAGGTTGAGTCTAACTCTGAAGCTAGACTGCTGTGTTTGAATCCTAGTTCAATTCCTTACTTGCTGGATGTCTTTGAACAATTTAACTTTCCTTTGCCATAGCATCATCATCTGTAAAAGGGGAATGATAATGGTTTCATAGTTCATAGGGCTGTTGTGAAGATTGTATAAATGATTTATTCAAAGCAATCAGCTAGTACGACAGGGCTTCAAAAAATTTGTGAGAAAATTGAATTAAAAGATAATGGAATGTTTCCATAAATTTTTTGAAGCCTTCTCGTATCTAGAAGCATTGTTGTTATTTTTAAGTGCCATCAAGTCGGTCCCAATTCATAGCAACCCTGTATATATAAGGTTTCCAAGGAGCAGCTGGTGGGTTTGAACTGCCAACCTTGCAATTCAAACCAACTTTGAAGTCCAGTGCTTATCCTCCAGCAATGCCCCAGAATTCCATATAGAAGGTGTTGTTGTTATTGTTGTTGTTGTTAAGTGCTGTCAAGTCAGTTCTGATTCCTAGCGGTCCTGTATAGGGTTCCCGAGAAGCGGCTGGTGAGTTTGAACAGCCGACCTTTTAATTCAAACCAACTTTGCAGTCCAGTGCTTATCACACAGCGCCACACCAGGACTTTATAGAGACAGTAGTAGACTCCTGGTATGGCATTATACAATAAGCCCTGGACTGCTATTGCAAGGTCAGTGGTTCAAACCCACCAACTGCTCCTCGGAAACCCTATACAGGGTCGCTATGAGTTGGAACCAACTCAACAGCATTTAACAAGATAAACCTTAGCTATTGTTACATGAAAAGCATACAGACTATTCATAATAAACATTAAGATTTACTGAGCACTTTTGTTCTAGGTATTGCCTATGTGTTTTACTTGAATTTTCTCATTTAATTCTTCTAACATACCATTTTACAGATAAGAAACCGGGACTTAGAAAATAAGTAATCCAATCACAGAGATAAATATAAGTACAGATTTTCTTAACCATTATTGTTTCTGAGTATGCAAAAAAAAAAAAACCACTGTCAGCACAACTTTTCTAAGCATAGACATAACAGACCCTTGCATGAGGATTTGTAAGGAGCTCTGGTAGCATAGTGGTTATGAATCAGGCTATGAAACTCAAGGTCAGCAGTTCAAAACTACCAGCTATTCTGTAGGAGAAAGATGAGGCTTTCTGCTCCTGTAAAGATTTACAGCCTCGGAAACCCTGTACTGGGTCGTTATGAGTCAGAACAAACTCCACAGCACATCACCACCACCACCATGAGAATTTGTAAGCTCTGAAATAGGATTTGTGCCAATAAAAGAACTGTTAGGACCAATTTTCTTCACATTTCTTTTTCAAACAAAATTACCAGCAGAGTACAGTATTTATTTCTTTATTACTCTGCTTGTGGTTTCCAAATTATTTAACGTTTCTAAAAAGCATCAGTTTTGAAAAACCATTTTAATGGTTTTTGAAATTATTATTTCAAAATAATATCAATTACGTATCATCATTATTGTTGCTAAATGCCATCAAGTCAGTTCCAACTCATAGAGACACTGTATAGGTTTCTGAAGCTGCACATCTTTGCCAGAGCAGAAAGCCTCATCTTTCTTCCTCAGAACAATTGATAGGCTCAAACCACCCACCTTGGAGTTCGAAGGTCAGTGCTTATTGTACAGAGCCATTGCACTTCCATTGTCTTTATACTCAGCCCTAATTATTAACAGATAGATAAGCCTCTGGAGAATGATTTGTTTATATTCTGTGTGATCTCAGCCAGAGGGCTTCCTGAGCAACTGGGTCAGAGCCCAGTTCTATTTTCCACTGTAGCAGAAGCCCAAGAGAAAAGGAACTAACATTTTTCTTGAGTAGCTGCAATGGACCATCCACTATCACCTTCATAATCCATTTAATTCTCATGAAATCCCTGGGAAGTGGATATTTTACCTCCATTTCCCTGCTGAAGAAATTGGAGCTCAGAGAAGTTAAATGATGAGCCCTTGCATACACGGCCAAAAGGAGAGCTAGGATTCGAGCTATGGGCTTCTGACTCTGAGCTGTAACAAAATACCCTAACAGGAGAGGGCTATCTCTGAGTACCACCACCTCTCCTCTCGGCCAGCTGTTATGTGCAAACCCTGACATAACCTCATGCTGCCAGACTGCCCCAGTCCTCCATCCTAGGAATGTACCCCAGGGTGCCAGCTCCCAGAGCAACACTGCCTGCTTTGGAGAAGGTGACTGAACTCCCAAAAAATACTGGTAGTTATCTGTGGATTGCAATTGTCTACACCAACAATACCATCCTCTAACAAAACTAATTGAGAGTTGGTTATATTCAGAGATGATTTAAAATAAACTGCTTTTTATTAGAAAAAACATTCTCTAACAATGCATGGTGTTGTTAAGTGCTGTTGAGTTGGTCCCGACTCACAGCAACCCAGTGTAGCATTTCCAAGGAGCAGCAGGTGAGTTTGAACCACTGACCTTGTGGTTCAAACCGACTTTGCTGTCCAGTGCTTATCCTACAGTGCTACACCAGGATTCCCTACCAATGTACAGGATGCTTCAACTAATTAAAGGGCAGTAGTAGAAGTATATTGAATAAGAAAGAAAGATGTTTGATCTCTATTGTAAGAGACTGTGTTTGTTTTAAGAAAAAAAAAACTATGAATAATGAGAAATAGGTATGCTCAAGAATCAATGAGTCAAAGATGTAGAAGTCTTTCTCTCTAAGAAGACCCCTTTATCTCTATCTGGAATGTTGTTGTTGTTATGTGCCGTGGAGTCGGTTCCAACTCATAGTGACCCTATACAGGGTTTCCTAGGCTGTAAATCTTTACAGGAGCAGAAAGCCTCCTCTTTCTCACACGGAACAGCTGGTAGTTTCAAACTGCTGACCTTGCGGTTCGCAGACCGATTTGTAACCTCTACGCTACCAGAGCTCCCTTCTATCTGGAATATGATCTGGCAAATGCAGGAGGATCGAATTCTGGAATTCTTTCTCAGTTTTAGGATTGAAATGTACATCTAGGTCTAGGAGTAAGTACATCTTGTATGTTCTCAGTTTGATATATCTTGCATTATATCTCTGAGCATACTCTTGGACTAAGTATGTACCTCATCTCTGAGGCTTTGGGCAGGCTTACTAAAGGATGGAACTCTCTTTGGGAATGCTTGGGGCAGTATCTAGTCCCACTTGAAAAATTTGACCTGCAATTTAAGTGTAAACTAATTTAAGATTTTACCACTCTTTTCTTTTTCCATTTTCAGATGAATCTACAAAGAGTAAGTTTACTAGTCTTTTATTTATGGCCTTCCTGAAAATACTTATCAATGGGTTGTGTTGTTGTTGTTAAGTGCCATGGAGTTGGTTCCAACTCATAGTGAACCCTGTATTGGGTTTCCAAGGAGTAGCTGGTGACTTTGAACCTCCAACCTTACAGTTAGCAGTCTAGTGCTTATCCTACAGTGCCAAACCAGGACTCCATCAATGGGTAGAGATGAAGAAATTGATTCAGAGAGTTTAATCCTAAAAACTGAAGCCTACCCAACATGACATTTTCAACTTCCATTTTGAAAAGGTTCCAAATAGGAACTTTTATATTTGACATCCATGCTTCCCTTACTGTGTTTTTCTTTACTTCTATAGTCCTTCTCCCATGTTTAAAACCTGAAGGCACCTTTTTAAAGGCTCTGTCATTCCCCTTCTCCTCCACACTCTGTCTTTTACACACTTTATCCCATAGAGTTCCCTTCTGACAAGTGAATCTAAGACCCAGATGGCAGGTAACTTTTTGTGTTCAACTGGTTTTTTGGTCACTAGTCGGCTTTTTCTGAAATCTTTCTGGTTTTGCCCTCTGATTTCCCTTCTCTTCTTTTCTACTCCCCAGAATATGAAATCTCCATCTCCGGAACCAACGTAGTGCTGAAATGCCCTGAGGAATCATCTGAGCATGGAGGAATTAAGTGGCTAAAAAATGACAAGCCCCTTGATTCTAATGAACAGCAGTTAAAACTGGAAAATTTTTCCGAAATGGAGAACAGTGGTTATTATTCCTGCTATGTAAACCAAGAGAAGAAGCATCACCTCTACCTGAAAGCGAGAGGTAATACAGGCCTCTGGGGCAAGGACTTCTAGACTGGGAAGGATCAAAGGGCACTGCCAATTATCCCCCTAAGCCCAATTCACAGTTCCTTGGCATCCTTGTACTTTCTCTTACACTCAATCCTGGGACACAGCATCAGTGTTTTCTGAAGTATAGATTAAACACCAGTGTGGAACTGTCTGGGCAGTCTAAGTCAGCACTAGACCACCAGCAGTAGCCTCCCAAGATGCAGAACTGAGTCAATTGCATTATATCACACTCAGAATTATGGCACATCCATCTGAGTCAATCTGATGCTTTATGCACAGCAGTCAGAAAAACTTGGAAAGGAGCATCAAAGCCACTATAGTAAAACTTCATATTGTTGTTGTTAAGTGCCATTGAGTCAATTCTGGCTCATAGCAACCCTGTGCAGGGTTTCTAAGGAACAGCTGGTGGATTTGAACCACCAACCTTTTGGTTCACAGTCCAGTGCTTATCCTACAGCGCCACTCCAGAAATCCAAAAACTTCATATAAGCTAAGGCATAATTGTTGTTAAGGGCTGCCAAGTTGGTTATGACTCATAGAGACCTTATATAGGGTATCTGAGGAACTACTTACCTTGCAGTTCAACACGATCTTACAGTCCAGTACTTTATCTTACAGCGCCATGCCAGCACTCCAAGTCATAACAGTAATATTATATTTGTTGTTTTTAAGTGCTATTGAATTGATTCCAACTCATAACTCATAACAACCCTGTATAGGGTTCCTGAGGCTGTAAATCTTTACGGAAGCAAAAAGCCTCATCTTTCTCTCATGGAGCAGCTAGTGGGCTTGAATCACCAACCTTGTGTTTAGAAGTCTAGTGCTTATCCTACAGAGCCACAGCACTACCATATAATATACAAAAAAATTGAGTGCCAACCTCTTGGTTAGCAAATGAGCACTTTAACCACCATGACATTCCATAAATGAGAGTTAATATTTATTGGGAGTCCTGGTGTGGTGCTGTAGGATAAGTACTGAACTACACAAGGTCAGCAGTTCAAACCCACCAGCCAGCTCCATGGAAACACTCTACAGGGTTGCTCTGAGTCAGAACCAACTCAATGGTACTTTACAAAAATAACAAATAAATATTTATTGAGTGCTTATTAAACCTCAGGAACTATACCAAACACTTGCCAAGGATTATTTCCTGTAAGTCTCTCAACAAGCACATAGATGAGGAAACAGAGACTTTATGAGTTAAAAACACATTCACAGTCTTACAGCTAGTGAGTAATGGAGCTAGGACCTGAACCTAGGACTTTCTGGTTCCAGAGGCTCAAACTGTAACCACCATACTTGGCTCATTGTTACTGTTATATGGATCAACTGCATTGTATCAGACCTAGAATTATACACATATTGAATGGGAGGGCTCTGGCCATGGCAAGCAAGTGAGTATTAATGGATGAATCAATCACCTTCATTTGTTTCTTCATCTTGTTCAGTTCCCTCATGTTTTTCCTTTTTCATTGATTTCTTCCTGTCTCACCATACCCCCACGACAGTGTGTGAGAACTGCATGGAGGTGAATCTGAAAGCCATCGTTGGAATTGTCATAGCTGATATCTGCATCACTCTGGGTTTGCTGCTCCTGGTTTATTACTGGAGCAAGAACAGAAAGGCAAAGGCCAAACCTGTGATGCGAGGAACAGCGGGTACCGGCAACAGGCCCAGGGGTAAGAACTTGGAGCTATGTCTTAGTGATTCCCATAAAAGGGGAAGCCCATCATGGCTAGATGGGCTTCTACAGAACATTCCTATGAAGAGGCCGAGATCTCAGCCAAGGGATCTGTGTCTTACATCACTTCTTTCCTTCCCAATCTAGAAATGGTCAAGGAACTCTATTAACATATCACATTCTCAAAAAGTCTTTTTGACATATAACTTTCCCAAATGCTCATCAGTGTTCTAGAATAAGCAGATTCCATCCCCAAGCTATGAAAAGAGAGAGCTTGGAGCATTAAGCACAAACCAAACCCACTGCCATCAAATCTTTACGGGAACAGTAAGCCTCATCTTTTTTCCGTGGAGTGGCTGATGGATCTGAACGGCCAACCTTATGGTTAATAGTTCTACAACACCTTCCTGTTCCCTTCTCTAGAAGGAAAAAGAGAGAGAGAGAGAGAGGTCCTTGAGCTGAAAGTCACAAAAGAATGAGAAAAGGGATGAAATAAAGCAAAGAGAAAGCTGCTATGCGAGAAGAGAGAGGTGGAGGAGAGAATGCCCTCCTTGAGCTGGGTCTCATCATAGCAGCCATTATTGCAAGATAGCTGTTTCCTCATGGAAACAAATCCCTTTCCCCTTCCTCTTCTGCAGGACCAAAAAAGGAGAGGCCACCACCTGTTCCCAACCCAGACTATGAGGTAACAGGGGGTCAAGAAGGTGGGGGTGGGGAATGGAGATCCAACTAGGGGAGAAGGAACAGATGGGACCATCATCTTTCCTGCCAAAGTCTTCAAAGCTCCTCTCTCAGGGCTTGCACAAGAGTCTACCCTGCAGCCACCTTGATCTCTTTATGGTAGGGTTGTTGTTGTCATGTGCCGTGGAGTTGGTTCTGACTCATAGTAACCCTATACAGGGTTTCCGAGGTGGTAAATCTTTATGGGAGCAAAACCCCTCATCTTTCTCCTGCGGAACAGCTGGTAGTTTCGAACTGCTGATCTTGGGATTCGCAGCCCGATTCGTAACCACTACACTACCAGAGCTCCTTTATGGTAGGGTTGTTGTTGTTGTTAAGTGCCATCGAGTCAGTTCCGACCTGTAGAATCATCTTATTGGCTGCATGACTTCCACAACTACAGAGGAAGCAAGCAAACACATTCCCCTTTCTTTGACTTAATCAGTAGCTGGATGGGATACAGCCTTGGAGAATCCCATGCATATAAATTCTAATGCCGTAAACGCAGGCTGCTATCCTACCACCAGCCACCAGAACACTTACACCAGTTAATAAAATACTGAAATATTTCATCGGTATTTCAATGGAGTACCGAGCTGGCCACCCCCAACCCCTAAACACACACACATTATGCCAACCCTCATAGTCCTCCCCAAGATCCCACTGGGCTCCCTTTGGTTTGGCAACCAGAGTTAATGTTTGTCATCCCAGAAGACCATCAGGGTTATTCTGGTTGATTAGAATGTGTACACTCCCAGCTGTTAAACATTTTGAGTATCACCCCTGGATAAAGTCAACAAATGTTTATTGAGTACCAACCAATATTCACTTTCCCTTGAATGATTTCCTTTAACCCTGAAAAATGCCCTGAGACGTGGTCTTAAGATGCCACCTTTAGATTTTGAGATGGGAAAGCTGAGGCACACAAGAGAGGGCCAGGCCAGCACAAGTCTCCTACCAGGACACTAAGTCAGTATTCAAGCCTGCCTGCCAAGATTCTTTCCATTGTACTAAAGCTATGTCTTCAGAGACCCTTCTTTCTTAGGAACTACTTTCTCCCACCTACTAACCAGCCCCTCTTTTACCCCTAGCCCATCCGGAAAGGTCAGCAGGACCTGTATGCTGGCCTGAATCAGAGAAATGTCTGAGGACTCCTGCCTCCCACCACCCAGGTCTGGCTTCTCTCTGGGCTCCTTGCTACTCCCCATTCCCTGGACATATCTTGGACCCCACAAAAGAACTATTCCTCTGCCTTGTGGTGAACTCACACCACAAGGCCTTTTGCCCAGCTCCCTCCTTTCTGCCTTTTTGGTTGGTGTCTCCAGACCTAGGATATGGCTGCTCTATTGTCCTTTGAAACATCATGTCTAATTACTCCTCATATCTGGAATGCCCTCTTGTCAGCATATTTATTTCTTTTCTTACTTCTCCCTACCCCATCCTCATGTCTACTCCTTCTCCTTTCAGTTCCCTCTTGTTCCTGTATATAAGTTGTTCCATTCCTAACTATTCCATCTACCTTTCTATTTTCCAGCTCTGTTTTCCAACCTCCTGGGGAAGGACTTCCTGGCAGATGTCTTGTACCATTCATAGACCTGGGCCCAGAGCATCTCTGGGCTTCCTCCCCTCTCTGTCCACCCACTCTAAGCATCTGGACGGTCAGTTACATCTCCCCAGAAATGCTCTAACTCTTTGTCAGCTGAGAAAAAAAAAAAAGAAATAAAGAATCTGTGTCTGAAAGAGTTGCTATTTCTCTCTGTGGGAGGCGCTATGAAGTTGCCTTACTTCCTAAGACATCTCAGATCCTCCCTACCCTCCTCTCCCTCTCCTTTGGCTAAATCCTTACCTAGGATAACCAAGTGCAAGTATAGCCTATTTTCTCAGCTGATGTGTGTGAGGGTGCGGGGGTAGTGGGGTGGGTTCTGAAGCTCTTCTTTGGAGAAGGCACCAGGGAGCAAATGCTTGAGTAACTTCTCTTGAAGAAAACCTTCAAGGGCTACAGGGAGTGGCTAATAGGTCACTGACAGAGTGGGCAACTCTAAAAACAGGTAAGAAAAAAATAGAAGCCTTTACAGGCAGGTGTGGCAACAGAAGAGGAAGGTAGGGTGAAATGGGGTTGAGGAGTGGGACACACATTTCCACAAGCTGCTAGAAGATCGGTAAGCCAGGGCTGGGGAGAGACAGAGGAAGGTGATGCTTTCAAGTGGGCGTCACTCCTTTCACCCAAGAGGCAGCAGCCTTAAGTCAGCTCCAGGCTGTGGTTCAGCGCACAGGATGTGGTCTGTGCTCTCATGAGGGTGTGAGGCGTGGGGTGGCAGGAACCCAGAGGTGGAGAGCCCTGTGGGGAAGATTTCTTTCTCATACTCTCACAGCACACCTCAGCTGGTGGTGAAGAGAGGCCAGAGCTGTCTCAGTCCAGCTCAACTGAACAGCTCTCTTCTCTTCCTCTCACCACTCAGAAGCTTCCCTGCTGACCACACAACTATTTATGTGTATGACCGCAATTAAAAAGACCGTTTGTGATTAGCAGCCCTTCACACATTGTCCACACTTGCTTTGGGCTGAGACTACAGCTTCTATTTGTCAGTTCCCTATTGAAGTGCATGATGTTGACCATCACTCACCAGCACTCACTAATCAGCAGGCTGGCCTGGAGGCTGTAGTTTTGTCCCAATACATTTGATTGAGTCTCATCAAGGAGAGGTATGGTTCAGTGTGATAAAAGCTGTAACAATCAACACTTATTGAGCATTTAAATCTGCTCCAAAATTTGTGCTTAGCACTTTTACATCTATGATCTCATTTAATTCTTACACCAACCTGATGCAGCGGATGCTGTCATACCATCTTACAGAGAGGATACTGAAGCTGGGAGAGGCTATGTCACTTGCCCAAGTTGCATAGTTAGTGATAGACCTCGCTGGAATTAGCAGATAAAGCTGTCCAACTCTAATACTTTGGATGGCCACTCTGTGTTGACTGTGTTCATAAAACAAATGTTCTCATAATACCCACTTGACCTGGCTTCAATGACTGGATGATCAGAGCTCAACCAGAAGAAGAAAGAAGAGGAAAAAAAGAGTAATCTGATACAATTTGAT